AAGGATGGAAGGCTGAGTCAACCCTGAGCCGGTGAGATTTGAACTGCAGAACTGCAGTCAGCTGAAGTAGCCTGCAGTGCTGCATTTCACCACTGCGCCACCTCGGCTCAATGAAGATGTCTCCACGCTTCCGTCTTTCTCCTCCTTAGACTCTCCTGGAGAAGTTGCAGAATGCAGAGGCAGAGCTGGACGCCTCCAGAAGCACCACAGCCTCCACTCAGAAGGAATCCGAAGTCCTGGTCCAGAGGCTGGAGCGGGAGGTGGCCGAGCAGAGGGCGGCCTTCCAGCGGAGCCAGGAGGAGGTCCAGGAGCTGAGCCGAGAGCTGTCCCAGGCCAGAGCGGCCCAGGCCGAGCGGGAGCAGGAGAGGCAGGCCCAGGAGGCCAGGCACGCCCTGGAGGTGGCCGAGAAGAACCAGGAGATGGTGGAGCTTCAGAAGGCCGAGCAGGACCTCCACGCCAGCTACGAGGCGGTCCAAGAGGAGAACGCCCAGCTGCGGCAGAGGGCGGATATGCCGCCGGAGAGCCCGCCTGACGACGCTTCTCTCCCACAAGGTCAGAGGAAAAAAAAAAACATCTGTAAGGAAGGATGAAAGCAACAGAAGGAAATACTTGTAGCTGGGGGTTGAAATGTGATGAGGTCTTCGTTGCTCTCTGAGCTTGGTGGTTCTCTCGCAGACGTTTTATAACCCTTCTAGGGAACATCATCAGTGCTGGAAGGGGGTGGGATTTGCAGAGAGGAGAAGGAGGAGAAGGAAGGAAGGAGGAAGAGGAGGACTCTGGGTTCCTAGGTGCTCTCTGGGCTTGGTGGTTTTCTTAACTGACCGTGTTCTGCTTATCTCGGCTTGTGGGGTGTCTGTCTCTGATTCCACTTTGGGGGTGAAAAGCTCACGTTGTGTTTTCTGCCCCAGGCGAGAGCCCTGAAGGACCCCCGGAGCTTCTCTCGTCTCACCCAGAACTGGAAACTGCTACAGCCCCGTCTCCTCCCCTGAGCCAGGTAATTCTTCCTATACATTAGATTAGAATCCCTCCCCCCTACTCTTAATTCTCTTCCGGAGGGATCTGGAGACCTGGTCCTGCCTGGGGAGCCCAGAACGGGAGGAAGCCCATGGAATGGTTCACGTGATCAATTGTTGCCAGGGGTGGGGGTGGGGGTGATTTTATACTATTTATACTATTTTAATTTATTTGAGTCTTTTTGTTAGCTTTATCGTTTTAAAAGTGGTTTTATACTCTGTCACCATGGGCGAATAGGCGGCAATATAAATGAAATAAATAGATAAATAAATAATAAATAAATAGATAAATAGAAATAGATAGATAAATACATAAATGGATAATTAGATATAGATAAATAGATAAATGGATAGATATAGATAGATAAATAGATAAATAAATAGATATAGATTGATTGATAAATTGATATAGATAAATAGATAAGATAGATAAATAAATACATAAAGATAGATAAATAGATAGATAGATATAGATAGATAAATAGATATAGATAAAAATAAAGATATAGATAGATAAATAGATAAATGGATAGATATGGATAAATAGATAAATAGATGATAGATGATAAATAATGGATAAAAAGATAGATATAGATAAATAGATAAATAAACAAACAGATACAGATACAGATAGATAAATAGATACATATAGTATAATAGATACAGATAGTTAAATAGATAAATAGATAATAGATAGATATAGATAAATAGATAAATGGATAGATAATAGATAGATATAGATAGATAAATAGATATAGATTGATTGATAAACATATAGATAAATAGATAAGATAGATAAATAAATACATAAACAGATAAAGATAGATAAATAGATAGATAGATATAGATAAATAGATATAGATAAAAATAAAGATAAAGATAGATAAATGGATAGATATGGATAACTAGATAAATAGATGATAGATGATAAATAATGGATAGATAGATAGATAGATAGATAGATAGATAGATAGATAGATAGATAGATAGATAGATATAGATAAATAGATAGATAAATAAACAAACAAGCAGATACAGATAAATAGATAACTAGATACAGATAGTTAAATAGATAACTAGATACAGATAGTTAAATAGATAAATAGATAATAGATAGATATAGATAAATAGATAAATGGATAGATAATAGATAGATAAATAGATATAGATAGATTGATTAATTGATAAATTGATATAGATAAATAGATACAATAGATAAATAAATACATAAATAGATAAAGATAGATAGATAGATATAGAGATAGATAAAAATAAAGATAAAGATAGATAAATAGATAAATAGATAGATATAGATAAATACATAAATAGATAAATAGATGATAGATGATAAATAATGGATAAATAGATAGATATAGATAAATAGATAGATAAATAAATAGATAGAGATAAATAGATAAATAGATCATAGATATGGATAAATAGATAGATGATAGATAGAAGGATAGATTGATTATTAATAGATAAATAAATAGTTCTGCAGAAGAGGGGGTGAGGCAAGAGGTTTCCTGCAAAGTGGCCGCAGGGGGGGCACTTAGTGAAATGAAGGAGAGGAAGGTGAGGTAAATGGTCCATGGAGATTCTCCGTCCTCCGAGTCGTGGGGGTCCCAAAGGTGGTTTCTTTTCAACAGGCAACTGGACTTCCTTGTTTGGCTTTGAAGACATTTCACTTCTCATCCCAGAAGCTTCTTCTGAGCGGATGGTGGGGAATTCAGAGCCAAAGAAGCTCCTGGGATGGGAAGCAAAACCTCTTCAAAGAGAAACCAGGAAGTTCAGCTGCCTCTCGAAAAAGCACCTTTGGGAGAAGGGAAGGGAAAATAAAACACAATATAAAATAAAGAAATAGTATAAAATACAATATGAAATAAGATGCCTGCTTCTTCTAGAGGAATGACTCCTCAATCTCCTTCTTCCAGTCCAGCGCAGGCCAGACCCTGGAGGATCCCCTGCCGGCCCAACCGGAGGGACAGCCCGATCTCCTGGAATCCTTTGCCGAGGAGAAGCAGCGGGATCTGTCCGTCCTGCTCCTGGAACTACAGGAGGCCCAGGAAGAGATTGCCTTCCTCAAGGGGCAGCTCCCCCTCTCCGGCAGCCCGGAGGCCGAAGCAGGACGTCCCCAGGGGAGCGATGGCGAAAGGGAGGGAGAAGGGGCCGTGGCCATCCAGAGCGACTCCAGCAGCAGCTCCTTGGTCACCGTAGACATCCAGGACTCTCCTTCTGCTCTGGGGCTGCTCTTGGGACCGGAGGAGAATGAAACCGCCCAGGGACCATCTCCAGACTCCCTGCTGCAGTCGCAGAAGATAGAAAAATTGGAGCTGGAAGTCGCTGAACTGCAAAAAAGGCAGCGGGAAGCCGTGGAGACCCACCAGAGGATCTTGGAGGAGAAAAGGGCTGAGATCATCCATCTTGAAGAACAGCTGGAGGGCTCCGCCAGCACCACGCAGAGCCTGGACGCAGAACGGGACCAGCTCCTGTCGCGGCTGAAGGAACTCTGCTTCCTCGCAGAGCTGAAAGCCGAGCCGGAAGGCAGCCCTGCTCACCCGGAGCTGCAGCTTCCCAGCTACGAAAGTGGAATCTCCCACCTGGGCTTGTTGAAGGAGCAGATCCAGAGCCTGAGGAACGAGGCCAAGTCGAAGGACGTGAAAATTGTCGCCCTGCAGAACGACCTGGACGAAGCCCAGCGGCAACTCTCGGAGCAAGAGGCGGCCGGGAGGGACCTCCTCAGCCAGCTCCAGAAGGAGCAGCTGAACGGCCAAGCCCTTCTTGAACAGGCACGGGAGGCTTCCGCGAAGGCCGAGGAGCGGTCCCAGGCTTTGGCCTCCAAGGACCTGGAAGCCACCAAGCTGGCGGCGCTCCTCTCGGAAAACTCCCTGGAGGTGGAGAGGCTCCAGCTGGAGGTGTTGGAGCGGGAGCAGAGAATGGCCGAAGTCAGCGTCAGCATGTCCGACCGGATGGTGCAGCTCAACGAGGAGAAGTTCGTGCTGGGGAAAGAGCTGCAGAGCGCCATGGAGCAGCTGAGCGTCCTGCAGCAAGGGAAGGAGACCAGGGAGCAGGCGGTGGAGACGGAGGAGAGCCGGCCGCTGGCGGAGGAGGAGGAGCTGCCCGCCGATGACGCGGTGGAAGTCCTAAGGAAAGAGAATGAACTCGTGAGGAAGAAGCTACAGGCGGCTCTTCTCAGCAGGAAGCAGCTCCTCGGCAGGGTTCGCCAGCTGGAGCAAGGAGGAAGAGAAGGGGGAGAGCTTCCGGCCGAGAGCCAGGAGGGGGTGGCTCAGGAGAACGAAGGAGGTGGACCCCCTCCCCCTCCCCCTGTGAGCCGCAGCGGCCAAGGGCATCCCGTAAGGCGGGGCAGGGCTGCCTCCCTGGACCAGCTGCCCTCGGCAAAGGAAGCCACGTCGCAGGTCGTCCCTGGGGAGGAGGAATGCACGTGGCCACGGACTGTGATTGCAGAGCTGCAGCAGAGCCTACAGCAGAAGGACCTTCAGATCGATGCCCTGCAGGCTGAGCTCCGAGACTGCAAGCCGGCCCCGGCGGATCAGAATCGGGAGGGGTCCAGTTCAGGAGATTCCGGGGCAGGCGGAGCAAGCAGCAAAGCCGACCTTGGCCCGGAAGGAGGACATGAGGCCATCCAGGAAGAGCTCTTGGCGCTGGCCCAGGAGAGGGAAGAGCTCCAGAAGAAGCTGCAGGAAGCTTTGGTCTCGCGGAAAGAGACCATCAAGAAAGCCAAGGAGAAGGACCGCCATCATCGGGAGCTGCTAAAGCAGCAGAAGGATGACTACAGGTTGCTGCAAGAGCGGTTTGAGCAGGAAAGCAGGGAGAAGGAGAACCTGCAGGATCAGCTCCAGGCGCTGTCCAAGGCCCTGGAGACTTTGCCTCCTCAGGAACCTGCTGGAGATGCTTCTTCTGAAGGCCCGGCATCAGGGCTTGTGCAGGAGTTTGGCCAGGAGGCTGCTGAAGAACAGCCTTCCTTGCCGACCGAAGACTCTGTTGTGGGCCAGCTGAAGGCCGACTTTGAGAAGCTCCAGGCTGAGAAGAGAGACGTGGAAGCCCACCTCCTGCGTCTGGAGGAAGAACTTGACGGGAAGTCCGAGAAGGCTCTGCTCCTCCAGGAACAGGTCGAGCATCTCCTTGCCGAAGCGGAGATGGCCAAAGCCGCCTGCCGTCAGGCGGAAGCCAACGTGGAAAGCCTGAAGTTGGAGCTGCAGGTGAGCCGGGAAGAAATGGCCAGGCAGGAGACGCTGAGATGCCACCAAGAGGAGAAAGAGCTCAGCAACGGAGAAGAAATCCGAGGCCTTCGCTCCCAGCTGGCAGATCAAAATGAGTCCCTGTGTGGCCTCCAAGCCGAGTTGCAAGAGAAGGAGAACAGGATCCAAGCTTTGCAGAGAGAGCTGGACCAAGCTCAGCAGCTGCAGGCCGAGCTTCAGGCAAAATCGGCAGAGGCCCAATCCAAGGCCCAGCTCCAGAGGAAGCTGCAGGCAGCCCTCATCTCCAGGAAGGAAGCCCTGAAAGAGAGCAAGGGGCTGAAGGACGAGTTGTCCAGCGTCAAGGCCGCTCTGGAAAGCACCGCTCTCCATCTTCACGAGGTAGAACATCGGGCAGCTGAGCTGGACAAGGAGAAAGGGGCCCTGTTGGAGAGACTGGCGACCCTCCAGGAGGAGCGGGACAAACTCATCTCCGCGGTGGACAACGCCTTGGTGGAAAACCAGAACGTGACCGGTTCCTGTGAGAGTCTGAAGTTGGCCCTGGAAGGGGTGACTCAGGAGAAGACGAGGCTGGAGGAGGAAATGGACTCGCTGAAGGAAAGGCAGGCCCAGGGGCTCTCCGAGTGGCGGAGGAAGCACGAGGAGCTGCAGAAGGAGTACGAGACGCTCCTGCAGTCGTACGAGAACGTCAGCGGTGAGGCCGAGCGGATCCAGCGGGTGATGGAGAGCGTCCGGCAGGAGAAGCAGGACCTCTTCCTCAGGCTCAAAGAGGTGGAAGCCGAGAAGAAGGACGGGGAAGATCGGCTGCAGGGAGCCGAGCAGGAGATGGAAGGCATGAGGGAGAAGATGAGGAAGTTTGCCAAGTCCAAGCAGCAGAAGATCTTGGAACTGGAGGAAGAGAACGAGCAGCTGAGGTTGGAAATCCATCCCGGGGACGGTAGACACGGGGGGAACAATTCCGCTCTTCAAGAAGAGCTCGAGGCCTCCAAGAGGAATTGCCAGGCTCTTTCCGATGAGGTGAAAGCGCTGGTGGCCGAAAAGGACCTCTTGAAGCAGGAAATCCAAGACTTGAGGCAGACATTGCAAAACAAGGAAGGTGAGAGTGGCGCCCGAGAGGAGATGGTGGCCAGAAGCAAGGGAGTCCGTTCCACCAGGATGTCCTCTTCGGAGGCGGTGGCTGAGGAAGAAGGAGACCCAGACACGGGTTCTGAAGCTCTCGCCACCGTCGCTCCGAGACTTGAGGACCAGAAGGAGGAGCTTAGCGCAGCTGGCCCCTTGTGTGAGGAAAGCGTTGGGGATAGTCAACAAGTGGCAGATCTCCAGGAACAAATGGCGGCACTAGAAGATAAGAGGAAGGTAGCGGTAGAGGAGATGAACAAGGCCCATGGGGATTTGGAGGTCCTGAAGGAAGAGAAGAACCGCTTGGAAGGCTTACTGGCTGTGAAAGGCCAGGAACTGGACGATCTCCAAGAAAAGGCCACCAAGATGGAGGAAGCTTGTGGGCAAACCAAGGAGCAGCTGGCTGAGGCGTTGAGGTTGAGAGAAGCTTTGGAAGCCGAGAAGGATGACCTGGAAGAGAGGCTGATGAACCAGCTGGCCGAGTTGAACGGGAGCATCGGGAACTACCAGCAGGACATGGCCAACCTGGAGAGCAAGAACCAGCAGCTCCTCGGGGAGATGGAAGGTCTTCAGGGGGCCCTGAGCCGCTTGGAGGACGAGAAGCGGCATCTGCTGAGGGAGAAGCTCGTGGTGGAAGCCGAGAGGAAGGAGAAGGTGGAGAAAGTCAAGAGCGCCTGGAAGGAAGACAACGGCCGGACTCAGGCGAGAGAGCTTCAGGAGTTGCTGAAAGAGAAGCAGCAGGAAGTCAGGCAGCTGCAGAAAGATTGCATCAAAAGCCAGGAGAAGATCAGTGGCCTGGAGAGAACTGTCAAGGCCCTGGAGTTCGTCCAGACTGAGTCCAAAAGAGAGCTGGAGACCACCAGGAAGAGCGTGGCGGAGGCAGAGGAGAAGACCAAGAAGGTCCAAGCCGAGTTGTCTTCCTGCAGGGTCCTGTTGGACGACACTCAGAGCGAAGCTGCCCGAGTCGTGGCCGAGAGCCAGAAAGTGAAAGAGGAGCTTCAGGCCACCCAGGCTCAGGTCAGAGGTCAGCTGAGCCAGAAAGACAAGGAGCTCTCGAGACACCTGGAGCAAGAGAAGGCCAAGCACCTGAAGGAGGTCAGGAACATGGAGGAGCGCTTGGAGGCCCTGCGGAGGAAGCAGGAGTCCGCGGAGGAGTCTGCGCGAGACCTCCAGGCGTCCCTGCGCCAGAAGGACCAGGAAGCCAAACAGCTCCAGGGCAACCTCGACCGCACCTTAGCCCAGCTGGCGGCCTTCACCCGAAGCATGTCCTCCCTGCAGGACGACAGGGACCGGGTGATAGACGAGTCCAGGCAGTGGGAGAAGAAGTTCAGCGAGGCCATCGAGAAGAAGGAGCAGGAGCTCTCTGCCCGAGAAGAGGCCTGCGCCACCTTGCAAGAGCAGGCCAAGAAGATGGCGCTCCAGGTGGAAGATCTCCAGGGCCTCGTGGCCAGGTAAGATGACCCCTTCCGAGGCTCCCTGGCACTTTTGCAGAAGTAGAGCACGTGAGCCACGGGGGAAGGACCCAGATCTCCTCACCCTCATTTCCTCTGTGCTCATTTTAGTGTGGGAGCTGTGGCGCAACTCACTGTAATGCAGTGTTTGCCAACAAACACTGCCGTAATGTTATTTTTCCCACCTGATGCTGTCTTCGGGTGGCACAGGTGGTTGGGTCAAGGCTTGGAGATGTAGAGAAGCCCTTTGCAGAGAAAGGAGTGTCCAGTTTTCTCCTTGGGCTAACTTAGATGGAGAAGAATTAAGGAGCAGATAGAGAATGTGGGATCCAGAACTGGTCAGAACCTGCTGAATCCCACCTCTGGCCTCTACCCACCAATAGAAGAGAATAGCCGTAGCTCAGGGTTGAATTGTGGGGTCTTTGGTGCTCTCTGAGCTTGGCTATTTTCCCGCAGGCGTTTCATGAACCCAACTAGGTTACATCATCAGCGCTAGAAGGGAGTGGGGGTTTGTGGAATGGATGAGGAGAAGGAGAAGGACTGCGGGATCCGTGGTGCCCCCTGAGTCGGTTTTCTTGCAGATGTTTCATGGCCCAACTAGGTTAAGATCGTTAGTGCTACAAGGTTCTAGCACTGATGATGTTCCCTAGTTGGGTCATGAAACATCTGCAAGAAAACCACCAAGCTTCAGAGACCACCAAGGACCTCACAATTCTCCTCCTCCTCCTCCTCCTTCCCCCCCACTCCTTTCTAACACTGATGATAGTTGAGTCTAGTTGGGTCATGAAACATCTGCAAGAAAACCACCAAGCTTCAGAGACCACCAAGGACCTCACAATTCTCCTCCTCCTCCTCCTCCTCCTCCTCCTCCTCCACTCCTTTCTAACACTGATGATAGTTGAGTC